ACACACACACACACACACACACACACACACACACACACACACACACACAAAAAAAAAAAAAAGTCAGGCAATGGTAGCACATGCCTTTAATCCTATCACTCAGGAGGCAGGAATCAGTCTGGATCTCTGTGAGTTCAAGGCCACACTGGAAACAGAGCCAGGCATGGTGGCACTTGCCTTAAACTCCAACACTAGTTAACCATAAAGGTCTAGAGATCTGCACAGACAGACAGGAAGTACAGAGCTGGGCAGGAAGAGGAAGTGATGTAGCTGGGCAGAGAAGAAATGAGATGGCAGAACAGAAAGGCATATAGGCATGGGTAGACAGGAAGTAGGTCTCTTTGGAGACTGAAGGTCTGTGAGATGAGGTTGGCTTGTAGCTTGTGCTTTCCTCTGATCTTTCAGCTTTAACCCCAATTTCTGGCTCTGTGTTTTCTTTTTTATTAATAAGGCTATTTAGCAATTCATCCACATCTGTGGAGTATTACTTTACATTGTGTGAATATATGTTGCTGTGGCTGGTTTAATAAAGAAGCTGACTGGCCAATAGCTGAACAGGACAAGTTTAGGCGGGAAAGTCAAACTGAGAATGCTGGGAGGAAGAAGGGCAGGTCAGAGGAGTCCCGAGCAGACAGAGAAGCAAGATGGGCATGCCGTACTGAGAAAAGGTACCAAGCCATACGGCAAGGCATAGATAAGAGATGTGGGTTAATTTAAATGTAAGAGTTAGCTAGTAACAAGTCTGAGCTATCTGTTGAGCATTTATAACTAATGTCAGGCCTCTGTGTGGTTACTTGGGAGTGGCTTGCAGGACAGAAACTTCTGCCTACACAGATCCTCTGGAGCTGAAGTTACAGGTGCTAACTCCATCAGGTGGGTGCTAAAACTAAACCTATTGTGGTATTTAGTTTTCTCATAGGAAACTTATTTAAAAGTAGGATGGAAACATGACAGCTGGATCAGTGAGTAGAATCGTGTACTACTCTTAGAGTGGACTCGAGCGAGCACCATTACTAACCCACAGCTGTTTGTAACTCCAGCTCCAGAGATGCTGACTCCTTGGACTCCATCATAGAGCACCCACCATAGAGCATGTGCAAACACACACACACACACACACACACACACACACACACACACACACATACACATACCCACAAAATAGATAATAAAAATTTTATATATATGCTTAACCAGGTGTGTGGTGGTGCAGGTTTCTAATCTCAGCATTAGGGGGTGGAAACTAGGAATATCACAAGTTTGAAGGCATCCGTGGCTACATAGCAAGTTCAAGGCCAGCCTGGGCTACAAATTACCCTGTCTCTTTATATATGTTTTTACCTTCTTAACAATAAAGGTGATCACAAAGGACTTTAAAAACTACACAGGGGCTGGGCAGCTGTGGCGCACACCTTTAATCCCAGCACTCGGGAGGCAGAGCCAGGCAGATCTCTGTGAGTTTGAGGCCAGCCTGGTCCACAGAGTGAGTTCCAGGACAGGCACCAAAACTACACAGAGAAACCTTGTCTTGAAAAACCAAAAACCAAAAAAAGACAAAACAAAACAAAACTACACAGGGAAAAATATCTTAGAAATAATAATTTAAAAATCCTTAATAATACCACCTTATTAACTTTTTACCTAATTTTTAAATTTGTCTGTGTCTGTATGTGTTGCGTGTACACATATAGGTGTGTATGTAGATGGAGGCCAGAGATTGGCATAGGTCAGCTTTCTCAATGGCTCTCTACCTTATTTTTTGAGACAAGTCTCTCATTGGACTTGGCGCTCACAGATTCAGCTAGCTAGGCTGGCCAGCAAGACCTATAGATCCTCCCTTCTCCATCCTATCTATGGATAGGTGTGGGGGTGAAGGGCCAAACCCAGGTCCTGACACTGTGACTGAGCCGTCTCCCTAGCTCCTGTAATCACTTCTGACGTCTAACATACTTGACCACAATAATCACTTGAGAATAAAGGAGGAGAGAACATGGTGGCATACACCTGTCATCCTAGAATTTAAGAGGTTGATCGAGGCAGGAGGATCAGGAGTTCAAGATCACTCTTGGCTGCACAGCAAGCTCAAGGCACTTCTGGGCTACATGAAATTATATTTCAAAAAAAATATATAAAAAATAATAATAAAGGAGTAAGTTTAATTCAGTACTTGACATCTGGATCTTTTCCATATAGAAACTTCTTCTTCTTCTTTTTATTTATTTATTTATTTTTTTTGAGACAGGGTTTCTTTGTGTAGCTTTGCGCCTGTCCTGGATCTCACTCTGTATCCCAGGCTGGCCTCGAACTCACAGAGATCCGCCTGCCTCTGCTTCCCAAGTGCTGGGATTAAAGGTGTGCACCACTACTGCCTGGTGAAACTTCTTAATTTTCATACTAACCACATCCAATAAGGTAACTTGTGACTACATAAAAACAGGGATTCTCAAATACTTAATATGAGTTTTTTTGTCATGAATTCAACATAGGAAAGAATACATCTATCTTTGGCTAAATGGTAGAGGAAGATTACAGATGAGAGGGGTAGAAGGCATGGTAATATAAAGAGTAGGAGATATTTTTAATATTCTTAAACTCAATTTCCTTTATCCATCTACTCTTTTTTTTTTTTTTTTCTTTTTTAGACCAGGCTGGCCTCGAACTCACAAAGATCTGCCTGGCTCAGGGTTTAAAGTGCTGTGCCACTGCCTCCCGGCCATGTGCTCTATTTGAACTTAGGCTAATGAATTGTTAGAGAAATGCTCGTCTGGAATAATAGAGTTTACGTATACTTTGATGATGCTCTTTGCCTGTAGAGCTTTAAGTCATCATCAGATGGTCTGTTTGTCCATGGTGGCTCTAACACACGCTGAAACATTTTTCTTAGTTGGGTCAACACTCCTTTTCCAATTTCAGTCGTACCAAAGGTAATTCAAGGGAGCAGCGCTAGCCTGGGAGCTATACCTCCTCTGCTCCCATGGTCACAGAGGCCACCCCTTCTTAGTCACCAGGGCCAGCTCATGTCCAGACAGCGCCTTCACCCCAATCTCAGGCTGCCTTTCCCGTGTACTTTAGACTTTATTTTCCCCTTTCTTTTTAAAATTGTGTTCCCGGGATCATGTCCAGGGCCTCACATGTGCTAAGGCGCTTCTCAGCCTTGCAGCCGTACACTTAATCATAAAACCCGAGTGATTGTGTTGTGCAAGGTCCTGTTCTAGGTGGTAAATATGCTTATTGTTATTAATTATATTATATACTATTAATTATTATTAATATCATTATGAATGAAATTATATCTCAGAGGACAGAAGGACAATGAAAAATACATCGGCAGATACATCATTTTAGGTGTGGATTTCTGTGTAAAAAGAAAACATAAAGCAGGACAGAGGTTGGGGCAAAGAAGGCAGCTGCATTGGCCAGTAAAGGAAGCTTTCGCCTTTCTGAAGGGAAGCATTGGAGCTGGGGTCCAGACAATGGTGAAGAAGTGGGTCCTGGGTATGTCTGCAAGAACACAGCTCTGGACGGTAGAAACCATGAATAAGATATCCTCTCACAGGAGCAGGCGTGCACCCGAGTATAAAGACTCCCGACTCAGGCTCCCGAAATACCTCCTTAGTCTAATCTCTAGGAACCCTGCTTCCTGGGTCCTACACCCCAGCTTCCTCTAGCTCACACCAAGTGCCCTGTCTCTCATAATGGCGTACTACAAAAAGTAAACCAATATGTTTCTTTAAAATACTGTCACTTGTGATGGAAGGAACAGTAGGAAAAAGAACAAAAGGACCAAACCAATAGCCATGCCCTTCAAAGCAGCCATGTCATGTACACGAAGAGGCAGATTCATTTACACCTCCTGCCCGTATCATTTCAATGCCTCCTAAAATGTGTGCTTGCTCTTATCCCTTCTCTATCATCTACCCTCTGTCTTCACAAATGCCAATCAAGTCAGGCACTGTGTGGCTCAAACTGTCCAGCCATTCTCCTGTGATGACCTCACTGGACCTGGGGTACCCACTGGCATCTTTCTCATCTCATCCCATCCGTTCTGCTTTTCACTACTTGCCGTTTTCAGTATCCACGCACACATCACACTGAGGACATCTATTCTGGAAGCGATTCTCTCATCCTAACCCCCGACTCCCAGCAGCTTGGTGGACTCACTCCCCTTCCAGTAGCTGCTCAGACTTTGTTCCTTCTTGGGCTCAACCTTGGTCACACTAGTTAAACTGTAAGCCCCTGGCTACCTCTTCCCCATCATCCCTTGTAAATAGCTCTTTCCCTTTGTTCTATGGCATTTATCACTTTTTACCATACTATTGGATTTGATGTTCTATCTTTATTATCTGCCTCTCTGCTTTTAGGTATAAATTCCCTGAGGGCTTGGATCATTGCATTTTCTTCACTGATAGATTATAGTCTAAGCCAGTAGAACAATGCTTAGCCATGCATAATAAGTTGATTGAATGCATTAATCAATATACTTATAAATACCAAGATTGCTTTAAGTCTGCTTTCTTCTCTTTATGGCCACGAGGAGACATTATTCATTCTTTAAAGCTTTGCACATTATAAGTACTTAGTAAATTAAGTAAATGATTTGCCTTTTTGCTTAACACAATAGTTTAGCAGTAAATGTGCCCAGGGAAAACACTGAGATACACTGAAAAGCTCAGAGTGGTACTCCAGCCGAAGCCAGACCAGCTGCTCGGCCTGCGCTTTTAATAACCATTTGGCTTACAAGTTCTGCTTTGGCAAGAGTTCCCAGGACCACTGTTCTGGTATCACACTGTAAAAAGAAAAATTAGGATTAGTTTGAGTGGTTCCTAAAGAAAAGATCTGGTGAGAGATTGTAAGATGGCTATTTCAATTATTTTGACCCATGCTTGCAACTTACAGGTGTCAGAATCTGATGCAATAGTCATAAAATTAAGAGCCGTCATGATTCTTCTCGATTGTTGCAACGGCGATCTTTAGGTACGGTTGTGTTGCTTCTGGTGCTTCTGTTGTCTGATTATTTTCTGTTACATGTGTTATGAAAATGAAAAGTAAAATAATACAAGTTTTTTAAAAATAATAAAAGGTGGGTCTGAGGAGATGGTTTAGTGGGTCCAGGTGCTTGCTGTGCAAGCCAGGTGACCTGTGTTTGATCTCCAGACCCAGGTAAATGTGGACAGAGAGAACTGGTACCTGAATGTTGTCCTATGATCTGCTCTCCACATGTGTGACACAGCACATGCATCTCCTCAATAATCATATGCTGTGGGATGTTCTGTATGTTGTGAATATGTGTTACTCTGATTGGTTGATAAATAAAATGCTGATTGGCCAGTAGCCAGGTAGGAAGCATAGGTGGGATAAGCAGACAAGGAGAATTCTAGGAAGAGGAAGGCTGAGTCAGGAGACACCAGCCCGCCATCCAGGGAGCAGCATGTAATGGCACACAGGTAAAGCCACGGAACACATGGCAACATATAGATGAACAGAAATGGGCTGAGTTTTAGTGTAAGAGCTAGTCAGTGGTGAGCCTGAGCTAATGGCGGAGCTGTTTTAATTAATATAAGCCTGTGTGTGTCTACTTGGGTCTGAGCTGCTGTGGACTGGACGAGACACAGGAAAACTTTCAGTTACAATAATAAAATAAAAAATTAAAAATGATGATAGCGTATGCCATCTATTTAGTTGGCCAGTTCAAATGCTGTGGTGGTGTACTAGATTTGCAGCCCCCTTCCTTCCTTTCTTTTCTTTTTTTTTTTTTTTAGGATTTATTTTCTGGCTATGGTGGCACATGCCTTTGATCCCAGCAGAGGCAGAGGTAGGAGGAGCTCAATGAATTGGAGGGCTAGCCTGATCTACATAGTGAGTTCCATCTCAGTTCCATGGTGAGACCCTGTATAAAAAAAAAGCTTATTATTTTATATGTATGAGTGTTTTTCCTGCATGTATGCATGTGACTAGTGTCTGCATCCATGTGTGTGCCTAATGCCCATGAAGGTCAGTTAAGGTGTTGGATACCCTGGGACTGGAGTTACGGATGGTTGTGAACTGCCATGTGGGTGTTGGGAATCAATCCCTGGTCTTCCATAAGAGCAACAAGTGATCTTAACCATTGAGCCAACTCTCTAACCTCAAAATGTTTTATTATAAGAAAGATAAACATTTAAACAGCCTGGGGATAAAAAGACGGATTAGTAGTTAAGAATGCCTACTGCTTTTTTAGAGGATCTGGATTCAGTTCCCAGCATCCACTCTGATGGCTGGGACCCAATTCCTTTTTCTGGCCTTACTGGGCATATGCACTCAGGTGCCCATACCTACACCCTACATATACACAAAAATAGATCTCTGAAAATTCAAACTATGTTACCTAGAAGTTCAATAATTCCTAAATGAATGTCATTATATCCATCAGTTAACAGGCAGGATCTCTGTTGGTAATATTTTATTAGGACTTCAAAGAGAATCTTCTTTTGAATATTCCGTCTTGTCGATTCAGTTTTGCTTTGCCCTAACTGCTGACTAAGAGTACCAATGAACTGGTCATGGAAATATTCCAGTCAATTGCTGTAGTAAGCCAGTCGTTGGTCCTGAAAGAAAAATGCACAATAAAATAAGTCCATAGTTAGCATTTACTTTGAGCTTGGGCACTGTTTGCTGAAACCCAACAAAATCAAGCTTATCTTTAAATCCAAGGAAGAAAATGTTTTCTCTATTACAATGGTTCTCAACCCCTTTAGGGGTCGAATGATCTAAGTCACCTAAGACCACTGGAAAACACAGATATTTATATTATGATTCATAACAGCAAAATTACAGTTATGAAGTAGCAACAAAAATAATGTTATGGTTGGGGGTCACCACAGCATGAGGAACTGTATGAAAGGGTCACAGCCTTAGGAAGGTTGAGAAGCACTGGTCTAGAACATTTTACTGAACAAATGACAGAGAAAATGGCTTTTCCCCCCAAATAACCAACACACATCTGCATACTTACTATATTTTAGAACTGAAAGCACTTTTATTTATTTTTATTTATGGTCACTTTTTATTATTTCTTTTCAATTTTGTTAGATTGTGTTTAATATTTTCTCTTCTAATCTGTCAGTGGCTCTCCTTCTCTTTCCTGGACATGGATGTACTTCTGTTATTATCAGAAATTAAGAGATGGGTTTCACTCCCTTTTATTTGTGATGCTTGGAACTGGAGGTAGTTTAGATCTTGGAGTTTTTCAAATGTGGAAATATTTGCACAGATTTCCAGCATCATGACAGTCTCTAAGTTTTAAGTTTTAGAAAATTTCAGATTCTTAGACCAACATGTATCATATTTTCCCACAATCCCAGACCTACAGTTTAGCCTAATATTTTCTCTTTGCCTACTTTACCCAATAACATAACTCAGGAGCCAGCCACTCACTCCCAGGTCTCCTGTAACTCAAAGACAGGAGGTCTTGAATCCCTTTCTCTACATCTGTTGCCCTTCCAGCCCAGAGATACCATACACCTCCTATGGTGGTTGAGATAGCTTGGTATTTCTCTTAAGATTATTAGCATATAGTTATTATATAACACCTGTATTATTCTTTAACTTTTGCACATCCCCACAGTCTTAACCATATCTACTGGGAGTGCCTGTGTGCATACACAGTGGGCAAGAAGCAAAAACAGACAATAGAGCAAAGACTGGTTTTTCTGTCTCTTCTCATCTTTCCCCATCTTGGGGCTCTAGTTACTTATTTGTACTCTGACAAAAGTATTTCCTCAAACATTTTCTTTGAATGGAGTCCTGAATGATATATAATTTTCTTTCCTGAGCTGGGATCAAGTCCAGGGCCTCGTGCATGCTAGGCATACACTCTTACTTCTGAACTATGCCCCCAACCGTCTGTGAATTTGTATCCTTGAGTATCTATTCCTCCCCACTTCCTTCTCTCCTAACAGATGAAAACAGTGCATTCTCATGATCTGTGGGAGTCATTATCTTCTAGGTCTTGGGATCACAGATGAGGATCGTAAAGGCAGTTTGCCTTCTCTTTCAGATAACCTCCCCTTTCTAACGAGATGCTAACGGAAGCAGACTTCAGAGGCATCTGGAACCCACTCCTTTTGGTACCCCTATGCTGTCCCTGGCTCAGAGGCAGGGGAGACCCAGGCCTTTGTTTGGGGCTATCTTGTCCTGTTCTGAAATAGAGAAATCTTCCATATGGGAGCAGGATGGCTGTCGACTATGTGGTTCCACAAATCTTCAACCACCACATCCTTCCCAGACCTGAGACTTTACTGGTTCCTCAGCTTTGGAGGTTTATTTCTTATTTGGTTCACATGGGAAAACGTGTTAGCACTCTGCTGGAATCCCAGCCAAAGCCAAGGTTCTAGTATCTCCCAGCTACTGGTTTGCTAGAAACAACAAATCTCTTAGAATTGGGAGCAAAATGAAGATAGTCTCATTCAGATTACAGGTCTCCCTGGGACTCTTCTCCATGAAGGAAATGTGTCATGGGAGGGTGGTGAGGGGGGTGCGGGGTGGAAGTGGGGGGTAGCTTTGAGGTTTAAGAAGCTCAACTCACTCATTCTTCCCTATGACTCACTCTTCCTTCCAGCTGCCTGAGGACCCAGATGTAGAACTCTCAGCTCCTTCTCTAGCACCATGTCTGCCTGCATGTTGCCTTGCTTCCTGCCATAATGATAATGGACTAAACCTCTGAACTGTAAGCCAGCCCCCTGTTAAATGCTTTCTTTTATAAATGTTGCCGTGATCATGGTGTCTCTTCACAGCAATAGAAACCCTAACTAGGACACTGCCCCAGTGATTGTGTGTGTGTGTGTTTCTTCCCATGATCAGTAGCATGACAAGGATTGAAACACAAGTAGATGAAAACATGAGTGAAACCACAGATAGCCTGGATACATTGCTCTGAGAACAAGAAAGAGAAATGCATTTTTTTGAGGAGTTTATACAATGGACAATGGATATATTCACAAGGATGGTCTTGGATCACCAAGATTAAGATCTGGGATTGAGTCTGTTTGTTTCTGTTGGGAGAATAGACAACCTTCTGGTTTAGCTGGTTATGTCTTTCGTTAAGGTAAACAGGGCTCTGGGGCCATTTCCGCTTCACCTGTGTTACCTGATGTAATCACTGTGTAGGGCACAGACGCAGAATCAGCACATCACACACACACTAATTTTAGCACATCTAAAAAGCCAGTTCTGCTAAACACTCAAATATTAGTGGTTGCTAGGAGTTAAATGGAGAGAGGCATGAGTGGGTGAAGTGCAGAGGGCTTTTAGGGCAGTGACAGGAGTATCTGTGACAGCATAGTATGGCTACATGTCATTTTTAAAAATATATATATATATTTTTATTTTTATGTGCATTTGTGTTTTTGCCATGGGTGTCGAGGTGCCCTGAAACTGGAGTTACAGACAGGTGTGAGCTGCCATGTGGGTGCTGGGAATTGAACTCGGGTCCTCTGGAAGAAGAGTCAGTGCTCTTAACCCCTAAGCCATCTCTCCAGCCCCCTTGTCATTTTATATTGGTTCACATCCATACAGCATAGAACACCAATCACGGACTCTCATGTGAACTGTGGGCTTTGGGTGATAAGGACATGCCCTGTAGTTCATTACTGTTAACGAATGTGCCACACTGGTACAGTACAGGGTATTGACAGTACAGTACTGTAGTTTGAATATGAAATGTCTCCCTCAGACACCCATGTGATTTGCTTGTTCCTCAAGTGATGAAACTATATTGGGAGGTGCTGGGAACTTTCGAAGGTAGAGCCTCGCTGGAAGCCGTGGGTCACTGGGGTATGCCTTTGAAGGTTATGTCCTAGCTTCGGGCCCCTCCTCTCTGATTCCCGTCCCCTGTGAGGTGAGCAAGCCTCCTCTGGCACATGTTATTGCACACATGGTTTTCTGTCTCAGCACACACGAGAAATCAATGCAGCCCAACACCAAGACTGGAATCTCTCGAGCCATGGTTGAGAGTAAATATTCTCACCTTTAAGTTATGCTTTTGGGTATTTTGTTCATATCAATAACAAGACTAACTAATACAGCGGGAGAGGGGTTAGCAATAAATGTGAAAATTCCACTCGGTTTGGCTGTGAACCTAAACTGATCTTAAAACTCCATTTTTAAAAAGTCATTCTTCCTTATAAAGTTCTGAAAAGACTAACAACAAAACCCTGATAGTTCATTCCTTCTTTAGGAAGCTGGAGAACAGTGTGAGCTATGGCATTTGGAGGGCACAGCTTGGTCTCCACTGGTTGTATGGATAAGGCCCCCAATCCTTTCCTCACCAGTCTCTTGTGCTAGAGGATTTTAAATAATTTCTTATTCTGGCCTGTGAAAAGAGGACTTAGGAATTTTCAATCACAACTTCAAGTCTGAGTTTTAATTTAATAAAATTGATTTATATATCCCTCATTTTCAAAAGAATTAAGCAGTCTATAACAGTATATACAGCTATTAACTTTATTAAATTATCATCAAAAAGACAGATTAGGCTTCAAAATAAAGGGTCAGTGTATTTAATAGTTCTAAGGTTAACACAGTCAGTATGATAGAGTTGACTACTGCTCTGAGCCTCTAGACAACCTTGGCCATCACAGTTTTAAAATGAGAAACATAAAACATAGTTTCTCAGTATAAATTTTAAACAGTTTGTGTAATATGTCTCCCATGATACCATTAGAAGGGATATGGGAGAAAGTGTGGTGATCTGTCTCCCATGATAGCATTAGAGGGACTACAGAAGAAAGTGTGTGTGTGTGTGTGTGTGTGTGTGTGTGTGTGTGTGAGAGAGAGAGAGAGAGAGAGAGAGAGAGAGAGAGAG